TTATGACAATAAGTTGTATGGCCTTCCTATCAAAAACCTATCCTGGCCCAAAGACAGAACTAGTTACCTGTGCACCTGTGGCCTTTGCAAGAGAGCTCTGCAGGGCAATAATGTTGTTTTACCCCTTAGTGTGTGCTTTCACACTTAGTGTGTGCATCTTAAAGGCTATTAGCACCATGTGCTCAAGAAACACCGGTGACTGAGGGAATGAAAGGATGAAGCTGATTCTAAGAAACTGTAGCAATCAATGGGATCTAATCTTCTCCTAAAATTCCAAAGGAAAAAGTTTCTCAATCAAAATCAGACTTAAAAAATCTGGGCCCAAAAAGCAGGTCATGGGGACATTGTCACACAGGCCATTCTCTTCCCTAACTCGGTGATTCTCCACTGTTTTTCCTTATGGCCCCCTACGAAGCCATTTAAGACATCTTTTCCTAACTCCCACCCCACCTCTATGACATTCTAATAGTACCCAGACTTATCTATCTGTGCTTTATACATAAAACGAAGAGGTATAGTTTAATCTTTTTTTTGTTCAATAATGGATTCAGATTGACTTAATACAAATATTTCAGTTATTAAAAGTTTAAAGCTATGAACATTTAACTTTATAACTGTATTTGCTGAGTAACTTTCAATAGAATTTTAATATAAAATATAATGCATCTATTTATATGTGTAAATTACCAATTCCTACCTAACAGAAATATAACCAAATTTTTAAAAGACATTCAAAACTATTATTTTTCCAGCAAAGGTAAAACAATTGAAAAATTGTCTTCTTAAAATTTATTTTTAATGAAATTAACTCTTGTTTCATATGAGAAAATAATTTTTAATTTAACTAGCTCCTAGATATTCATTCAGATATTTCCAATATATTCTCATCACCCAAGGAGACAGAAGAAATAAGGAAAAGAGTGAGGGGGGAGGGGTGGAAGGAGGGAAAAACTTCAATGTGAGAGAGAGACATCAATTGGTTGCCTCCCACATGCCCCCAATGGGTCAGGTAATGGAACCTGTAACCTAGGTACTTGCCCTTGACAGGGAATAGAACCCTGGACCCTTCAGTGCAGAGGGAGAGTGGCAGCAGATACTCTAACCACTGTGCTACTCAGGCCATGGTGATATATTCTCTTTTTATTACTTGTTCACATAATTATTGGTGAACTGAATAATTTTAACAGGATTCAATAATAAAATGTAAACAAACTATTTTTATTTAATTCTCAAATTCCAAGTCACACAAAAGCACCGAGGGCCAAACATAGCAAGAAGGGCAGCCAACAGCAGCCCATAAGAAAGAGGAGTTCACCAAGAGAGATACAACTTCAAGATCAAGCAACTAATGGTCCTCCAGTCATAGCCACCTATTTGCCATAGATTTGTAGTATTGACCTTGCACAATTTCTTTATACCTTTCATGGACCTCATGTCAATGTTGCTTGTGTAATTCCCAAGAAAACCGAATGTTAAGAAATGAGATTTTGTTAACCAAGGTTTGAAGGACCACACACCATTGTAAAATCTAAGATGTTTTTTGTCTCCCCTCCAGAATCAATTTTTGGCACCTCTGAGGTGGCAGGTCCTAATCTCTGTATCCTCACATTTTTATCCTCCTAGAAAAAAAAACAAGCATCCATTTACACTGCATCCCACAGTGTAATGCATCTCAACACATCTGCTCTCATTATGAGAGATCTTCTATTACCCCTTCTCTTTAGTTACTTTGAAAAAAAAAGAGATCCCCATATTATTATTAACCCTTCTCCCTCTGCTCTGAAAGCACAGACTTTTGGAGCTGGAAAAACATGTAAGGCTCATCCAGCCCCTCCTTCCTCATATGAAGAAACAGCAGAGCCCTGAGAAGCTGAGAGACATGTCAATTAAAGTCACCAGTTATGGGCAAGGTCCTTGTCTGTCTAGTTCACTGTTGTGTCTCTCAGCTAGCACTGGGTTTGACACATGAAACAGCCAGATGTTTGCACACATAATGAGTGAATGGTTACGGGCCAAATGAGTAACAGAACTGAGAGCCCAGTTCACCTAAGTCTGAGGCAGTTACTTCTCCAATCATACCACTTGGCACTTGTACTACCCTTTCCAGCCACGCCTTTCTATTTCCTTGGAGTATCAAAGAGTGGCCACAGAAACTATTAAATGTTTAGTGTTTGGAAAACTTCCCAGCTGAAATAAGCTATTTCAGTTCACACAACCAGTAAAGTTGAAGGGCAGGGTCTTGTTCACTCGTGTGCAAAGCATTTCAGCCTGCTGAAAGTCAGGAACTTGGTGCAAATAAGGATACCCAGTCTACAATGCACCATTTCTAACTTGCTTACCTTGCCATGAGCTCTTTTCTAGAATCCTGTACATGTCACATCCCCCTTTGGTCAGCAAACTGTGGCTCGAGAGCCACATGTGGCTCACGAGCTGCGGTTTGCCGCTCTGTTGACTAATGAGTTTGCTGACCACTGCCCTACCCAGATGGAGAACTCTAGACAGTCAAAACTGTGTCTTGTCTTTCTAAAGCATCTACCAAGTTTGAACACAGAGTAAATGTTGATTAAATGTTTGTAAACTTATACCAATGGAACGGACAAAAGTGGATTTGGCATGAAAAAAAAAATACTACAGCTGAAACCGGTTTGGCTCAGTGGATAGAGCATCGGCCTGCAGACTGAAAGGTCCCAGATTCGATTCCGGTCAAGGGCATGTAACTTGGTTGCGGGCACATCCCCAGTAGGGGGTGTGCAAGAGGCAGCTGATCGATGATTCTCTCTCATCGATGTTTCTAACTCTCTATCCCTCTCTCTTGCTCTCTGTAAAAAAATCAATAAAATATATATTTTTAAAAAATACTATGTGTACCTTGCTCATCTCCTAGGAAAAGTACGGAACCTAATATGTAACAGGCACCTAAGAGCTATTGCATTTAAAAAGTGAATGAAATGTATGGCAAAATAGAAGGAATTACTGAGCAACGTTTTTTCTGCAGCCACTCATTTGTTCCTTCACTCAACAAATATGTATTCATCAAGTATCTGTGTGCCAGGCTCTCTGCTGCTCTGAAACCTAACTCCTCCAGCAGAGCGACAGCCCTTCTAATGCACCTCCACACATCTGCTCATCCTGCAGGCCATGAGCATGGCCAGGGTGGCCATATGTCTCCATATGCCCAGGAGTGTCTCCATTTACACCTATTGTCCCAGCATGAATTATTAATAGCATCCGCCTTCTCTCTCAACAATACCCTGGTGTAGACAATTATAAAGCCCTAAGTGTAGCACTTACCCCTCTCCCGGCCCCCCATGAGCAGACTAGGGATTCAAAATGTTCACTCCACATTTACCAGCTACTCTTCGTCTTGTTTCCTCATTTATAAGATGGGCACAACACTGATTAAACCAAACGGCTATCTAGAGAAGCAGCAGGGGACAAGGCGGGAACACCGGACGGAGACCACACTGTGCAGAGCCTTGCACGCCGGGTGCACGGATGCTACATGCACTGTACAACAGGGAGCCCCAACAGCTTTTGAGGAACGGGGTGCCTGCAGGGTCAAAGCACCACAAAGGTGCTACCGCCTGGATGACAGTCAAGAGCTAAGGAATGAAAAACAGCTGGTTCCGACACACCAAAGAAAACAGCCTGAAGTTGTAAGGAAAGGTTGTCACCGGTGAAATGAGCAACCAATGTCACATTGCATCATTTGCTTTTTTTTTTTTTTTTAATAGGTAGCTTTAAAGTTTCAAAAGAAAGACAGATGCAGTGGAGCAAGCTCTAGCTCCTTGGTCTGCGATCTCGGTGCCCTCGTCTCCAGTACAGGCTGTCAGGAAGGTTCAGGCCCGCCAGGCTCGCCCTCCTCTTGTCTGCAGGTCACGCAAAGGAGGTCTATTCGCTCGGGTTGGGTTTGGTTTTTATGTGAAGGGCTACATTTCAAGCCTCGTGCTCACTGTCTGGAGTTTCCCGGCTTTGAGGGGGAGATGGAAGGGAATTTTAACCCGCCTCCTCCAGATCTTCCACTATTGCATCATTTGGAACTAAGTCTTCTCAGGCAGCGACTTGTAAGATTCAAGGCAGGTAAAATGGCAGCAGCAGCAGCAGCCGGCCTTAACTTCCAGCTGCAGAGAGTGCGTCTGCCTCCCGGAGCCGGGAGAGGCCAAGGGCTGCCAGAAGAGTCTATAAAATCAACAGGTCGGGCCGGCGCGCACGCCCACAGGCGCCCAGGCCCGGCAGGAGGAAGTGGTTAATGACTTAAAGCCGGCACAGACGGCTGGATGTCTCAGTGGTTCCGCAGCGCCTTCTCCCCGTCTACACCGCCGGCCCGGGGACCCGCTTGGGAAAGGCCTGGCCCCGTGGACCGCGGGCGGACTCCTGGGCGGCTGCTCCGCGCCCTTTGCGCCCCAGCCCGGCGGCAGCCCCTGCCCTTCGCACCAGGAAGACAGACAGATAGACACCCCTGGGGTTCTTCTTCTCCCTCCCCCCTCCTCCCCGGTCTGGTGTCCCCCTCCTCTCATCGACTGCCCTAAGCCTTTCGGTTCTGCCTCCAGGAAACTTCCATAGAAGGTGCGACTCCATCCCGGCTCCAGTCACCGCGGCACGCACCGGCGAGGGCCAGCGCGGGGCCTTGGGGGCCGGACCTCCGAACGCCGGGTGCACCTGGAGAGGCCCCGAGAGCTCCGTGCGGTGGGTCCCGCGCGCCCTCGCACCCATCCACCCGAGGATCGGACGAAGCGTCCCGCATCCATCCACAGAACACCACAAGGTGCCGGGCGCCCCGACCCGCGGCCCCGCCTCCGCTCCGGGCGCCGCGGGGACCCTCCTCGCCCCCGAGGGACCGATCTCTCCCTTCCGCGCTCCTGCCCATCCCTCCAGGCAGGGGGAGGGGGGAAGAGAGAGACTGCCGGTCCCCAAACGGGGACCCAGGGGGCGGACCTGAGCCATCCCGGCCGGGTCCAGGCGTAGTGCCCACACACTCCCCGCCCCACACCGGCCAGTACCTCGTCCGCTTCCAGCTCGGGGGCTCCGTTGCCTACGAACGCCATGTTCCTCCTCCGCCCGCCGCCTCCCAAAGCCAGGCAGGGAGCTCGGAGCCGACTCCTCCGTTTCTCCGCTCCAGGCTCAGCCCAGAGCCAGTGTGGGAGGACGGGGGCCGCCCCGCCTCCCGCCGGCTCCCGGGCGGGGCCGGGGCGCAGCTCCACCGGGGCTGACCCCGCCCCCGGCGCCCGCAGACCTGCGGAGCATCCCTCTCTCCAAGGGCGCCGGGCGGGGGCCCTCCGAGCCCGGGCTCCGCCCCCGCAGGCCCCGCCCCTCAGGCCCCGCCCCCATAGGCTCCGCCCCGCAGCCCCCGCCCCGCCTCCCACGTGGCTCAGGCGGTTCAGCCAACCAGGTTCCCCCGACGAGTCTCAGACCATCATCCGCATCTGCCTTCGACCCCCACGTGGGCGGGGTCCCTCAGTGGGCGGGGTCCCTCAGTGGGCGGGGTCCCTCAGTGGGTGGGGTCCCTCAGTGGGCGGGGTCACCTCGCACACCCAGGCTTAGCGCGTGAGGAACCTGAGGTCCCCGCTGCTAACGATCTATCTGCAGAGGTCAGGTGCTCCTTGGAGCCAAGAGAGGTCCGGCTGGACGAGGCCAAGGTCAAAGCCGCGCTGCCCCTGAGTCCTAGGAAGCGTCCACATGGTCCTTGGACTGATGATGCCAGTCCTCTTCCCTCGCAGATGGACACTGGGTCTTACAGAAGGTGTGCCACTGTCACCGGTCACCCAGAGGCCTCTGTCATAGGTCCGTCTGAGGCATCATCTTCAGATACAGGGATGCTGTGTTTGCTTCCGTGTTTTATTGTGTGTGTTTATTTTTATCCTAAAACGAGGATATTTTTCCATTGATTCTTAGGGAGAATGGCAGAGAGTGGGAAAGACAGAGAGAAACATACATGTGAGAGAAACACATCAATTGGTTGCCTCCTGCACAAGCCCTAACCAGGGCCTGGGCCAGGGTTGAGCCTACAATCCAGGTATATGCATGCCCTTGACCAGAATCAAACACAGGACCCTTTGGTCCTCAGGCCGATGCTCTATGCACTGATCTAAACCTGCTAGGGCTGCTTCCAAGTATATTTGAAAACTAAAGGAAAAATCATGGACACATAGTTATACTACTTAGTGCTCCTCTACCCCTCCTCCCACTACCTTGTCACCTTTATGTCCCCAGTATCCCGCACTGACCCCTTTTGTCACCCCAAACATAGGTGTATAGTATGTGCTTGAACTAGAAGCGACTGAAGAAATGCTGTTTATTTCAAGGCTGTATCCTCAGCACCTAGAACATACAGTGTCCTGTATGTATTATAGTAGGTGCTCAACAAATATTTGTTGCCTGAATTTAGAAATTGACTCTTGCTTCTAACATGTTAAATAATCAAAAATTCAAACCTATATTTCTGGGGTAGGGAGGTGTCAGCTTTATTTTACATACCATAAAATTCACCAAGTTTAAGTGTATAATTGGATGATAAATGTTTACAAAACACCATCCTGAAGATAATACAGAAAACCCCTAAAAGTTTCCTGTGCCTCTTTGCTGTTAATTTTCTATCCCCAGTCTCTGGCCTCTGGCAACCACTGATCTGCTTTCTACCACCATCATTTACCTTTTCTAGAATCGCCTATGTAATAAAAGCCTACTATGCTAAGTGTCTGGTCACCCTGTGGTCTGTTCAGCCAACCAAAGTGCATATGCTGATAAGCTAAGGCCACTCAATTGCTGGCTATGACATGCACTGACCACCAGGGGGCAGACACTCTGACTGGTAGGTTAGCTTGCTGCTGGAGTCCAGCCTATTGGGCCTGAGTGAAATGGGTCAGACATGCCCGGGAGCCCTCTCTCAACCCCTCCCTGGCTGGCAAACCTCCCACATCTCTTCCCAGCCCCAATCGTGCATCAGTGAGGTCCCTTGGCCTGGCCTGCACCCTCTTGCAATCCAGGACCCCCTCGGGGGAGAGCCAGTTTCAGCCTGATCCTGCAGGCCAGGCCAAGGGACCCCACTGGTGCACGAATTCATGCACTGGGCCTCTAGTTTCATATAAGTTGAATCAGAGCATTGTGGACCTTTGTGGCTGCTCATGAAAGACTAGTTAACATTTATTATGTCTTATATGCCAGGAGTATGCTAAGCCCCTTGCATATATGATTTCATTCATCTTTCATAACCCCATGAAGTAGAAACTCTCAGCGTCCAGATAAGTAAGCCCAAGCTCAGAAAGTTTAAGTAACTTGCTTGAGGTCAGGCAGCTATGAAACAAGGAGGGATGCCAGAATCTGAGCTCCAGCCGTCTGACTCAGGGTGTGGCTGGTAACCATTTCTCAGCACTTCCTCCAGCCACCCTCCCTCTTTTTCTCCCTATTTGTTTCAGTAGGGCAACTGCCTGAACACGTCAACTGCACATATTTTCAGTGAATCATCTTTGCATCCTTGAATTGCTTTACAATTATAATGAATCCATAATGTAACTTTATACTTTAAAAATAAATAACATGGCTTCTACCTTATAAACCCCATGGGGGAAAAATGGGTTAGATTATGGTGATGGTTGCCCAACTCTATGACTTTACTACAGATCATGAATTGTATACTTAAAATAGGTGAGTTTTATAGTTTTGCACATTCTATCTCAAAGTCTTTTTAAGAACTGGTTAACACATCTGTTGGATGTCCTTAGAATCAGATATAGGAAGCTAAAAGGGACCTAGAGACCATTTAATTCCAATATCCCTGCAAGTTCCCATTCCTCCCCACAACCTCCTGTTTATACTTCACTTCCCGAGACCAGATTTCCTGTCTGGGTCCAGATTCTATTCTGTATTACTCATGCGTGATTCTGTTTTATAAAATTCTTTGATTCACTGTTTTATAAAATTCATTGGTGTTTATAAAATTCATTTGTTCTTAAATTGATATCACACATCTTTTTGACATCTCCTTGCTGGCTTCTTCCTCCCCTATATGCTTTCTTATTGTTTTACTTCTGAATTTCAATTCCTCAAATTTTAAAGAGGTACAAAAAAAACTTGGCTCTAATTACTGTCATGATTATGTTATAATGAGAATCAAATCTAATTTTCCAAAAATCTATTCTTGTAGACAAAGGTTGGTGGGTTATTTCTTTTAACACTGGGGATCAAATCCGAAGTCCTGTATGTTTGAAATTCACATCACTAGATGTGCAACACTCATATTTCTGAGGAAGCTAATTATAAACACTGAATAAACGTGTTCTAGCCACTAGAACATCTAATCAAATTTGCTTTGCTCCTGGCAAATGCCAACTTTCTTTTCCTGCACATGTGTGATTTTACAAGATCATGAATCACAAAAAGAAAACAGCTTTTTTACAAAGAACAACTAGGATGGATTCATTTTTATAACAAAATTTCCCTTGCCAGTTTGCCGATAACAAACTTTGTAGATTACTCAGATATTGTATAACTAGCCTAGGGATTAAGCAAGCAAGGGATCTGATTTATTTATTTATTTATTTATTTATTTATTTATTTATTTATTTATTTTTTTGTCATTGAAGGCACACCTGCTGGGAGCTATTTGGGTTTCAAAATAAATCTAATATTGCAGAAATCTGATCTTTAGTATTCCTTGTTACCCTTGCAAGGCTTTTTTGTTGATACTTGATTTAAAGAAAAATTGCATTTTCATTATTTATGTAGTGGAGAGAGAATGGTTTTGCTTTTAAAAATAAAATGTTTCAGACGTTCATATCCATAAAGTAACTGCTCATGTCAATTGTACATTCATCAATGGCTTTGTCTCACATTTAGTCTTAGTTCCTCAAGGACTTCCCCTTCTAAAATAACCCCTCCCTCTCAATCCCACACTACCACGCCATCCTGCAGCCTACACTTATCACTTTCTGGAACTATCTTGTTTATATATTTACTTGGTTGTTTGTTTTTTTGTTTGTTTTTTGTTTTGTTTAATATTACTATATTTCCTTTCAAGAGGAAAAGTTTAACAAATTTTGCAGGTGTCAATCAACCCTTGCTCAAATTGGGCACACATCAAATCTAGCATTATTGGAGTTTTATTTGGAAGTGAACTTAACTATTATTACAAACATCAAGATACTACACAAAATATCCACAAGAACTTTTTTCCCTTTTTTTTTTTTTTTTTTTTTGTTGATGGTCTAGTCCCTCAATAACAACACACACACACACACACACACACACACACACACACACACACACACTGTAAGGTAAACTCTCTGAAGGAAGTAACCTTGTGTTTTGTGTTTACAACAAAACCACTGTGCCCAACACGTAATGGATATTTAATACCATGTTTCCCAGAAAATAAGACATCCTCCGAAAATAAGACCTACTTACAGGTTTCCTTCTGAGTGAAATATAAGGCATCCCCTGAAAATAAGCCCCCCCCCCCTAGGCTAAACATGAGAGATTTGGTCCACTGATTCTGAAAGAAATGGAGTCACAAGAAATTCACCAGGAAATTCAGGAATTGGATTGTTATGATGATGTTTCAGAAGATGATGACATGATTATCATTGAATAAATGAGTAAATTCTTGATACTGTAGGATTCACAGTTTGTCTGGTTTGTGTTGACAACTACCGTACTACCGTACCGTATACAGGTAATAAATTTCCTTTATTTTCATTTAACAATAAATGTGTACCGTATTCTTCTTCATGGAAAAATAAGACATCCCCTGAAAATAAGACCTAGCGCATCTTTGGGAGCAAAAATTAATATAAGACACTGTTTTATTTTCGGGGAAATGGTAAATAGATATTGAGTGAATAAATGAAAGTATGAAAAAGTTCATAGTATACAGAGCATTTTGTTCAGACCTTGGAATACTAATGCTTTAGCATATAATTTTTTTTTAATTAAGAAAACTGGTAATAATGAAGAAGATTAAAGAATACAAATTACATAAAGCCTAAAAATTAAATACTATTTTTCTTAGGGTAATGTGGCAGGCAGGATACCTACTTTAATGCCTACTCAT